AAAAAGAAGTTACAGTAACGTAAGATGTGCAATAAATTCCAATGTCAATATACTTTCCGTCTTCGGTCATATAAAACATTTTACTTTTTTACATAATTTTGTATCCGTATAGGAATTACAATAGTTTGCATTTCGTGTTTTTTCTTATCCATCGATCAGAAGAATTTTACTGCGTTATGTAAACAATCTGAACCGAAAGAAGTTTATATTAAAGGTTATCGGAATTCCGGTTCTAATTTCAAATGTTATGGTGTCTATCGTGTATATCTTATCGTATCTACCCCAGAAAACGTTTAATGAATGTATTTCTACATTGAAAAACGTTTAAAACGTCTAACAATTTAATAATATTTATTTAGATCCTCAACATCCGTTTATTTGAAAGTTTTAAATAACGAATAAATTAAAATCATTTCATATTCGCGAGTAACGAATAACCTAATTAATGTTATTTCCGAATAACAAGTAATTAAATTGATTCGTTATTTTGAATAACATTGGACCAACACTGATTATAATACCTAATCATAAATTTTAGGTTACTCGTAAATTCTGCTGCGTGAAATAGATAACTCTGTAGGTTTGGGAAACAAGGACTGTCGAGAATTACTGAGTTATTCGCTGCGGTTTACAACGGTGTTACCATTAGCTCGTGACTAAAGCGAATTAGAATTTATCGATGAAGCGTCGTCGGTGCACAATCGTCGGCGTTCGATAATTCTCGCATGCCAACGCGTGTAATAATCGCTTAACAGCTGGCTACCAAGAACTCGAAATAAAACTTGCATTATCGACGTTAAGTTTGTTCTTGTTGCAATCGAGTGATATGTTCTCGTCGCTGAAATTTGAATTATTTCACACGATTCTAATGATGTGCCTTGTACAAATTCATACAGTTTGCGAAATAACTTCTACGTATTACACAGTTACAAGAATAATTATTACGATTTATTCGAACGGATTTGAATATCTTATCATTGGACTGTCGATCTTTATGTGAAATAAAAATTTGCCAAGACGATTGCAAGAAACAGAAATGAAATGAAAATAAACTGCTTCTTCAAATAATTTAGACAAGTTGAAAATAATATAGCAACGTTATCTAATTATGCCTTCATAATCTTATATTAAGTCCGCAGATTACTTATTATATTGAACGACCCGTCGTTATGAGAAACATTGATAAGTGTCTCTTTGATCATTATGAAATACTACAGTAGCTCTTTTGAGCACTAACTTTCCGATCTCGGAAAATTCTAATTTTGTAAAACAAAAATTGTAAATCGATACATCTTCAATCGTTTTAAATCTTGAAATCTTGTACCCACACTAAACACTGTAACTTCCAAAATTAGCGTTCCACGAAAAAACTTTATATGCAAAAGTTGCATGGTTTATAGGGGTACGTTATGTAGTGTAGTAATTTTTTTTCTAGGTAGAGGCGTTTCGGAGACTTGTAGGTCAACATTCTTTTCTCAAATGGATTACTACATTTTTGACATCAAAATATGGAAGAATATTGAATTCTGAGTAAAAATGATTAGCCCTAAACCTAATAGCTAATGAGTAATTTCACTTCGTTTTTCGAAAATTTGAAATTCATTTTCTGAAATCTGTGATAAGGATGAATCTTCAATTTGATGTTACGCGCGAAGAAAATTTTCATGAAATTAAGCGAAATTACTCGTTAGCTATTAGGTTTAGGGCTAATAAAGGTCAATACATTTTTACTCAGAATTCGAC